TTATTATTATTTTTTATCTCTATACTCACTATATATCGGTGGAAACTAAGGAATTGAGGATGTTGAAAAGATATCTCTTATTTAAAACTTTTTATATAAGAGATCGACAAATTGTTGTTTCATTTAAACTATAAAAACATTGGTAATATTATACACTCTTATCTATTTTTTTATGAATTCACTTTAATTTACTTTTTAACACTTAACAAAACTCACTTCAACAGTATTATGTACTAATCTGTACGAAATTAATATACTCACAATTTATACTATTTTTTCTATAATACAGTGTTATTCAAATATAATAACTCTAGTTTTCTATAAAAAATTACTTAAGTTTAAAGTCGAGTGTTAACAAATATGTCATTTAAAGTGGAATTACTTTTAAAAAAAAAATGTTGTATAAGTGGATTATCATTAAATACTTTATTTTAGTTACTTCTTTGAAAGTATAATTATGTTCAAATTAATTTTGGAGGTAAAAGAAGATTGAATTGGAAATACATTAGAATAATCTTATTTTAATGAAGCTTTGTCAGAATTCTATGCAATGAAAATAAAAATTTCTGAAATACTCTTTAGGTCAAATTTTGTTAAGTAAAACATTTGTATATTAATTTTAATATTAGATATTATAAATTATTATTATTTTTAAAGAATGTTTTTGAAGATCTGATACAAGTATTAATTGAAATTAGAATTTTGTACAACTTGCATGAAAATTGTGAAATATACAAAATTATCATGTCTTTTCTTAATGATGTCAAACTATCCAGTGTAGACTAGTCTTTCATTCTTATTACGTGATATTGTGATAACATGCATGAATGGTTAAGAACGTCATCTCCATAAATACTTATGGCCATTATTTTTTGGGTTTTTTTTTATTCAAGATATCTTGTAATAATAATGGATGGAGAGATGAAAAATATATATAAAAAAAAAAAATGAATCTTGAGTATCTAACCATCACCTTGAACCCATGATATACTTTTTGTAGCTTACAAAATAAACATGTTTATTCAATCGATTATATTTAACATAGATATCAATTGAGTGGTAACAATGCCAACAACATTATATACCAATTAGTCGACTTGTTTCAGTTGTTAAAATTATTTCATGTATCATAATGTGTGATTACCTCACTCAAGTAAAGTAGTGTAGACTATTCTACACTTGTATTCCAAGTCAAATTCTCAAGCATCAATGATTATTTAGTGTATAAACTTCTTCCTCATTCCTTGAGGTTCTACCCACTTAATTATTACTCGTGGTAAAATATACGAAGTATATATATATGAAAAAAGCAACTATATATATTTATGATTTTTTACTAAAAAAATAAACATGTGAGGTCTATTACTAAAGTCATTTCTATATACACAAAATATATATGTAATACAAGAATTAAATTTTTATAACTTATTATTCATGCAAAAAAAATATTATAACAAGAAAGTTAACAAGTGAGGTATATTACTAAATTCATTTCTATATATCTAATAGAAGTATTAGATTTTTATAACTTATATTTATGCATACAACAATATATTTTAATAAAATAAGAAATAAAATAAAATAAAAAAAAAACCCAAAAAAAAAAAAAACATAGTCATGCATGTATGCATATTGTGGAGTATGTAGACTATTCTACCTTTCCATTTTAAGCCCCTGTCAACCATCATAATTTTGGAAGAGTGGAAAGGAGAGTACCTTCCAACCATTAGGTTGGAGGTTCATGACTTAGGGTCTGTTCTCATACGATTATTTTCAGTTCATTTCAACTCTAATAAGTTTAGTTCAACTCTAATAAGTTCAGTTTAGTTCAGTCCAGCTCTTAATTTTGTGCTCTTATAAAATATTCATTTCATTCCAGTTCAACTCTAATAAGTTCAGTTCAGTTCAGCTGAGTTCAATCAATGAGAACAGACCCTAACAGTGTGTTTGGATAACAAAAGTGGAAGGAAAAGAAGGGGATGGAGGAGAAGAGGAGGGGAGGGAAAGGGAGGGGAGAGAAGAATGATTAGTTTTCCTTTCAAATCTCTCCATTGTTGGAGGGATCAATTTCTTACAATTTAATCTCTCCATTTCTCTCCCATCTAATTATTCCTTTACTTCCTCATTTATTATCCAAATGAAAGATATCACATCTCTCCATTTCCCTCCCCTTCTTTTCCTTCCATTTCCTTCTATCCAAACACACCGTAAAGGGAGAGGATTCTCTTATCATCCACCTACGTATATACTTTTCCAAATTTTCTAGCCCGCTAATACGAGCCAATAATAGTATATACATCTCAACTAAATTTTTCTTAGCTGTCTTGATCTTTTGACAATATTATATACATCTCATCAGCTCTTTAATCAATGTTGTTGCAATAAGTTAAACTACATAGTGTTAACCATAATTAAGTGGGTATTTGTTGAAGCTGTCTCAATGTATAGTTTGCAAAACACCAACAATTTATAATTATTGATAAATAAAAGTTAAGCTACTAGTTAAAATGGTTAAAGTTAGCATTGACAATTACGATCAAACTAGGTACTAAAAAAATTGGAGAAGGGAGTAGTAATCTGCAACTTGCTTTGTCCCACGAGCGCGCGTTGATTATTCTACGGTTAACTTAATCAAAGGTGGTCCAATAATAGGATAATGTACACGTACAATAATATAGCCAAGTAGTGCAGCCAATAATATCTGCCATACACTAATTAAAATCCATGCATTATCCCAAATGATGTGCATCTCAAAACCCTATAAATACCCCCCTCATTCATAGCCAAATTCATCACACAAAAAACTCATAAAACAAAGAGAAAAAAAACTAAGAGTAAGTTAGTTACAAAAGTTAATAAGAGTGAAAATGATGAAGATGAAGAGCTTTGTGGTAATCATGGTGATCATGACCCTTTTGGTGGGTACATCAATGGGACAAGGAGAATGTGTCAATGGGGCTTGCCCCAATGGGCTGTGTTGTAGCCGGTTTGGCTACTGTGGCAGCGGACCCGCTTACTGTGGCGGTGTCGAGCAGGCTCAAGCCCAGCCTTCTACCGATCTTCCTAAAACTCGCAAGGTTGGTGTTAGAGCCCCTTGATCGATTTATGCAACTCATCATTATGGCCTGGGTTACCTCCTAAGTAATCTCTTTGTGCCTCACTACTTGTTATCCACTATAAATAAGCTCCTATGTATAATATAGGAGCATTTTAAGTTAATGTATGCTGTTTCTTTGTTTGTACGTAATCAAATGATCGAATAAATAATGTCCGGTCTTATATATGCTCCCGTACATGTTTAATTTTAAACGATCTTAAATGTTGTGTCGTTATATATATGTCTTCTTTTTACTCTAATATCCCGTGTTGATAACAAAAATATATTGGGATGTTCTTTGTCAATTAAAAAGTGAGACTATTAGATGTGTGGTACGTCCAAAGTTTGAATTATTAGTATAAATTTTCAACAAAAAATTCTCCGTAATCGTAATGCATGATCAAACAAACAAAAATAAAAATGAACGAGTTTCAAATTTTTGACTAAAAGTCAGATCATAAGCTAGATCTGCAAATCATAATGAGACCTCAAATTAATAGTATTTCAAATATATACGGAGTAATATAATATAACAATAGAAATGAGAAACAAGCAATTCTGGTGATCATGTTGTCTTTTTCAAGGAGGAATAACACATAAGAAATTTCCTGTCAAAAAAAAAAAAAACACACATAAGACATTAATAGGGTTAAAAACTCACAACCTAGTAGAGAGCGATGGAGGGACTTCTATATGAGTTGAATACAACTAAATCAAGAAATGTGATCAAGTTCATATAAACTGCCTGGACACCATACTAGAGGAGAATAGCAAGCTTGGACACCCCGAAACAAATTACTTTCTTTAATTTGGCAAAAGTTTAGACCTATTATCACTATTAATTTCAATCATGTAGAGTACAAACTTGTTTAAGTGGATTAGACATTGATTATTGTTCTATGGAGCACAACATTTACAATTAGAACCATACATGACAGATTACGATAATAAACATATATCGATTTTGTGATTAAGTGAGAGACTGAGCCGCTCCAGCAAAACAAGAGAGAGACTTCACTTCACAAGATCAAAGGAGGTTCCATTGTAAGTGTCCGTTACGAATAACTACTTATTCGTAACGGACGTTTCAAATACCCGTTACGAATAATGGATTATTCGTAACGGGCACCTGAAACGCCCGTTACGAATAACCTATTATTTGTAACGGACATTGTAAGTGCCCGTTACGAATAAGTAGTTATTCGTAACGGACGGTGCCCGTTACGAATAATAATGGCCATCCGTAACGGCCGTATATGTAACGGACGTTGCCCGTTACGGATGGGCCCTTTTTGCCCGTTACAAATAACCCATTATTATTCATAAAAAGGGCTCATCCGTAACGGGCAACGTCCGTTACATATACGGCCGTTACGGATGGCCATTATTATTCATAACGGGCACCGTCCGTTACGAATAACTACTTATTCGTAACGGGCACTTACAATATCCGTTACAAATAATAGGTTATTCGTAACGGGGGTTTCAGGCGCCCATTACGAATAACCCATTATTCGTAACGGGCACTTACAATGTCCGTTACAAATAATAGGTTATTCGTAACGGGCGTTTCAGGTGCCCGTTACGAATAACCCATTATTCGTAACGGGTATTTGAAACGTCCGTTACGAATAAGTAGTTATTCGTAACGGGCACTTACAATGTCCGTTACGAATAAGTAGTTATTCGTAACAGGCACTTACAATGTCCGTTACGAATAAGTAGTTATTCGTAACGGGCATTTACAATGTCCGTTACGAATAATCTCGGAATAAGTCAAAAAATTAGGGGCATTTGTAACTAGCATTTCAGGTGCTAGTCACAAATACCCCTATTATTTTTCCATTTACCACCCAAATTATTACATTCTAAAAGACTTATTATTCCTTGACAAACAACAATACTATTAACACCTGCGTATTTGTAGTAAAATATCATGTAAATGCTAGACAAATCCTGTATTACACACTGTTACTACTTGCTTTTTATACTCTTCTGTATACACTTATGACTTCCTGTTAAAATTCTCAGCAAATATCATCTAACATCATTAGAACAGTATGAATTTGGTTAGAGATATAATGAAATTTAGCTACAAAATTGAAGTGTTATCACCCAATTAAAGGCTCCAAGAAGTGATAATGATCACCAAAGAAAGCCTCAATAAAATGTTGTGCTACTTTCACTTGCAGACATCGAGCCACCTTCAGATTTCACGGCGGGTGTTCCTCAGCCGCCAATGTCAAGCCCTTGTAATCTTCCCAGGGAATCATTCGGCATAAATTCTGAAGGGTTGATTTTGGCCTGGGAATTGGATGAATGCATATGGTGCAAGTTGTTATTATTTCCGTAAGTTAAATTATTCTGAAGGACCCATCATTTCGCATTTTCGCTTGTGGCCATTCTAAGCCTCTCCACTTCCTGCTTTAATGCTTCATTGAGTGCTGAAAAAATAAACAGAAAAGTTCAGATTTTAAAGATCTATACCGCAACAAAATTCAAAAAGAAGAGACATGTCAAGCCAAGTTCAATATATTTAGTGATATTGTTTTTTACTTGAAACAAGGAAATCAAGATATTTTGATAGTTTAAAACTTAAATTTGTATATTGGCAGCTAAATTCCGAACTAAATCAACTGTTCAAACCTAAATTCCGAACTAAATCAACTGTTCAAACCTAAATTAAGTTCTGTGTTTTCAGATGTCAAACCAGTTGTGTCCCTCTAAATAATAAATTCATAAAAGAAACGTAAGAACAACAAGTTCACACAAGAGAATCTTAGAAGTACTTTTAATTTCTAGATCCTAAAACCTTGTACTCCGTAATCTAAATGAAAGAACAAGTGAATCTAAATTTAAGAGCAGATCTTTTACGTTACTGGGGTGTGATATCAGCAAAAATACCTGATACAAGGTGAGTTGTGCAGAAAGGGTGGTTGCTTCAGTTTAAAGAGTCTGTACTTTCCGCTCCAACTCCAATATGTATCGAGCTTTCCTCTCTTTAGAACGTGCAGCAGACTGCCGATTTGCCAAGTAAACCACTGTGAGGCATAAGTAGACTAAATAAGGAAAGCAACATAATAACCACCAATTAAGGGCCCTAATTTTCCAAAAGTAACATGATTATAAAGCAAACATACTCTAAAGTGTGCATATTGCAATGATTGGATTGGATATATGAAACACCAACAACAAAAAAAGCCACAACAATTAGTTAAATTCCCATAAAACATTGAAGTCTCATCTCATTACTTTGCAATATATACAATGTAACAGTGTTCACTCCAAAACCATTGATAATAATGTCACTAAAAAGCCAATCTACCAATCGGAAAAGTAAACAACATACGAAGAATGCCACGAACATACAAATGGATAAATATGCAGATATTTCAGTAAAGGCATAGATAAAAGTATCAAACTTTTATGACTATATTATAATTTTCACCATATCAAAGTATCAAACTTTTACAGCTCATCCAATGAACAAGATTAACTTAACATATTATGTGTACCAATTAGACGTGATCCAACAATAATATAATAATATATTTCCAAGACTCGAAGGAATTTTGATTTCCTCAGGTACCTAGGACAGAAAATGCTCAGATATTGAAAATATAATGTTCTAAGAAGTTTAGAAATGGGTGACTTAGGTAATTTTGTCCCCCGTATCTCATTAAATTTAAGCTAATACTAGTCTGCTCAACATTAATTATCTTCTAGAGGGTATGCAATGTTAATTAATGTACTTTCATTGGAAAACATCGGCAACAATTGAAAGAGCATATATCCCAAATGAATCACAAGTCTAGTGTCTATATATACCATGCTGAAACTTTTGGCACACCAAGCAAGTCTAGTGTCTATGGATCTTAAAGAACATGAATTATAATCTGAGTATTTAGTGGAAATATACTAATTTCAACTTGCTTTGATCCAGTAAAGATAAAACCTTCAGCTCCACACACATTAAATTTCATAATGCTTCAGTTTTTAACGGCGTACACCCCTCTACGCCCCTCTACTGGCTCCACACTCGTTATTAAGTCACACCCGAGCACACTTGTAGCCTCAAAATCACTACAACACAGCCCTATGGAAGCAGAATCTACACTACACACACAACACAAAAATACACCAATCCTTACTTGCCAAGTCTCTCATGCATATACAAAACACAGCCACTACCACTGAAGCACAAAATAGTCTCTTCTAGGAATGTTCAAATAATAATGTACCTTATCAGTAGGATAACATGTCTTAGGCACCAACATGTCTTAGGCACCAACATAATGTAGCTGTATTCGTCTACCCTCGCCTGCTGTCAAGCCTGTCCGAATATTTATTGTTCTAGTCGAGTATACCTGAGTCTTCGTGTTCTCTGTCTGGTCAGTATATTGCTGATTTTCCCTGCCTGATCGTAAGGATAGCACAACCACAAAATCCCAAGATAACTGGAGAGACTAGAGAGTGGTGACTAAGTCACATTATTAGTAACAGATTGTACAGGAATGTACTGACCAAGTAAATATACAATACATTAATCTTCATCATGTCTGCAAATTAATGCTTTATTACACTGCATCTACTTTATTACACTGGTGAAGTATAGTAGTTAATAAATAGGTATAAACAATCATAGTTTTACATATAGGAGACAAGGGAATCAAATGAGAATGCGAGTTCTCATCAGAAAAATAAGGAGCTTTCATTATATAGCCCAATTAGAATTACCAGTGCAAAGACAAAAAATAATTCAAATGCTTAGCCTCATGCCCCTACAGCTTGCTACCATAGCAGAGGAAGTGTTCTTACCGGTTAAGGGAATGCTATATGTGCACCCACCTCCTCGACGTTGTTTGACTCTAAATCTGTTTGGTTTCCACTGTTGGAATTGGCCACCAATTTTGCAACCTGCAACCCACACAATCAACATAAGTAACCAATTATCTCATTGTTAGCTAGGCTAGGTCTTTTGATAGAGGGGAGTGTTCTCACCGGCTGAGGGGGTTGTATATGAGAACTCGCCTCCACCACATTGTTTAAATCCAGATCTGCATTGTTTTCATTGTTGGAATTACCCATCAATATTACAGCCTACAAACCACACAATTGACATAAGTAATCAAATTCCTTAATCCTTAATCTTATGCTAGGGTCTTTTTGAAAGAGGAAGTGTTCTCACCGGCTGAGGGCCTTGTATATCATCACCCTCCACTCCCTCCTCCATCACACCATTTAAATCTAAATCGGTCTGGTTTCCTCTGTTGGAATTGCCCATCAATTTTGCAACCTGTAACCCACACAATTGACATAAGTAACCAATTTCCTCGCTCTTATCTAGGCTAGCTAGGGTCTATTTCTTTTTTTTATCTAATTAATACCTCATCCTTCAGCTGTTCATTCTCTAGTTTCAGCGCCCTCTCCTGTTGAAGAGGTGATCACCAGATATAGTTAAAAAATGTCACAAAAAAAAAAAAAAAGATAAAAAAGGGAAGACAAGAAAAAAATAAATATGAAAACTAAAACACAGTTGACATAATCATATCTTGTGCATGCACAAAGAATGCCCATTATTACCATTCCCCCATTTGGATCAGCTAACGTCGGCAGGCCTGGGAAAGCAGTTGAGCCTGATCATAATGCTTAGACCTTATCTAACTATAACTAGATGAATATTGAGGGACAACTCTTCTAGGAATGTTCAAATAATAATACTTGAACAAATAATTCATAATTTTATTGAGATAATCCAAAACAACAAAATTCGAAGAACATTCACATGGACAAAAACGCAAAAGAGTAGAAATAACACGAAATTTGTCGAGAATCAGTTGAATATATAAATAGAGTAACAAAATTCTTGGCAAAATCATAAGAAACAACGATTTTACCAATAGCAAAGAAAGATATATGGTTATAACTAGCCTATAACCTTAATTGAAGTGAGTAGATTGCTCAGCATGCTTCTTGTCCTCCATAGAAGCGTTGTTTCCGCCATTGATGTTCGCTGAAGCTCCAGTAGTTCTCGCGACCACAAATTTTCCCAACCATTAGATTTCACAATTGCTTTCATTCTCTCTGCTAGGGTTTGTTAGTTTCTAGGGTTAGAGTATTAAATTGTGATTCGAAATAGGGTTAGAGTTAAGAATTTGGATATGGCGAACGGAATGAGAAGTCGGCGATTTGGGGTGAAGAGAGAAGGAGATGGCGAAGGAGAGGAAGAGAGGAGGAGAGAGAGTGAAAGGGAAAATATGTGGGATTTTAGTGTTTGACGGCTAGGACTAGGAGTGTGAAACCCTAATAATTAGTAATGGGCTTCTCTTTTCATGGGATCCTCTTTTTAACTGGACCAAATTCGTAACGGGCACATAGTGTCCGTTACGAATAAACATTTATTTGTAACGGGCACATGGTGTCCGTTACGAATAAATATTTATTCGTAACAGGCACATGGATCCTCTTTTTAACTGGACCAAATTCGTAACGGGCACATAGTATTCGTAACAGGCACATGGTGTCCGTTACGAATAAATATATTTATTCGTAACGGACAATATTTTGCCCGTTACGAATAAATATTTATTCGTAACAGGCAATATTTTGCCCGTTACGAATGTATTTAATGTAACGGGCATAGCTTTGCCCGTTACAAATAACCCGTTACAAATGAAACTTTTTCCACTAGTGTTAATTTCCCTCTCTCATAAAATATTCATTTCAGCTTAGTTCAGTTCAGCTCCAATCAGTTCAGTTCAGTTCAGTTCCAATCAGTTCAGCTCAGTTCAGTAAATGTGAACAGACCCTTAATTCATTTCTCTCACCTAGTGGATCCAACATAAATCATATTTTATTAATTTCATATTCTTTTTCCTCTAATTTTCTCCACTACTTTGTTTTTTACAATTTTTTATTCTTCCACCTACCCAACTACCTCCATATTTATTACCTTCTTCAATTTCTGCTAAAACTCCGCGCATGAAGAAATGTAACAAGTAATTAAAAATGAAGGGAGTATTATTTATGCAAAAATTATTATAACAAGAAAATATACAAGTGAGGTATATTACTAAATTCTTTTTTTTTTAGGGATATTACTAAATTCATTTCTATATATGTAATACAAGTATTAGATTTTTATAACTTATTATTTATGCATACAACAATATATTTCAATAAAATAAGAAAACTTAAAAAAATCATAGTCATTTACGCATATTATTGAGTATGTAGACTATTCTACGTTTCCTTTTTAAGCTTCTGTCAACCATCATAATTTTGAAAGAGTGGAAAAGAGAGTACCTCCCAAGAGTTCCAACCATTAGGTTTGAGGTTGGAGGTTCATCCCCATTGGTGACAATTGGGGAGAGGATTCTCTTATCATCCACCTACAACTTTCCCAAATTTCTAGCCCAGTTAAACTACATAACAGTATACATAATTATGTGGGTATTTGTTAAACTGCCTCAATGTATATTTTGCAAAACACCAACGATTTATAATTATTGATAAATTAAAGACTAAACATAATAGTGGTTTAAATTCAGCATTAAAAAGTCCGATCAAATTGGGTACTCTTAATAAAACGGAGAAGGGAGTAGTAATTTGTAGCTTGCTTATCCCACGAGCGTTGATTATTCTATGGTTGGTTGGTACACCGGGTGCTAATGGTACACCCGGATTAAAGCAGAATGAACATAACTTATAAATGTGAAGAACATCATTAAATTATAAAAGAACATATCATTGAAATATAAAGAACATGGTAAGTTATGAATTGGTAATAGATAGTTACAAATTGATTTTTACCACGCATTTAGGGTCAAATTATTTCAAAATATTGGTTTTCTAGATTTTCTTTATACCTTATGTTTTTTTGGTAACGGTGAAAAAATATGATTAATTTTTAATTAAAATAATATATATATATATATATATATTATATATATATATAAGTATTCTATTAATATATAAAATATTATCGTTTATTTGTTTGTTTTGTTCTCTCCATCTGTGAGAGTTTTTCCCAATTTTCTGGGTTTTTCCCAATTTTCTGGGATTTTGATTCTCATCTATGAATGAGAATTTTATTTTTAGGGTTCTTATAATAATTGAGAAGGTGATTTGGATTCCTATGGGTCTGGGATTTGTCATCAACCGGTCGGTCAAAACATCAGCGCAGATTGCGGAGGTCTCAACTTGGAAAGATGCAAAGACGTCGAAAATCATTGCTCGCGTCAAGCTTGAAGCGATGGAGTATGAGCTATGCCAAATATGCAAATTAGTTATGATTTTGATTGTAAAAGTTATGATATTTTCTCTAAATCTGTGGTTTACAGATCCTTGTCATTGTAGATGCCGTATGGCTTTTATTTAATGATATTATTCTTCCCGTTCAAAAAAATATATATAAAATATTATATATATATATATATATATATATATATATATATATATATATATATATATAAGTATTCTATTAATATATAAAATATAAATAATAAATCAATTTCATGAATCAAGGAATATAAATAACAAATCAATACCTTAAATCAAGGAGGAATCGTTTTGAATTTTTTTTTTTTTTTTTGAGGGCTCGTGTACTTTAATTTGTATGCAATATAAATAACAAGTACAATCAAACTAGGTACTAAAAAAAAATTGGAGAAAGGAGTAGTAATTTGCAACTTGCTTTATCCACGAGCGCGCGTTGATTAGTCTATGCTTAACTTAATCAAAGGTGGTCCAATAATAGGATAATGTACACGTACAATATATAATTTGACAAATGTTTTATGTTATTGCAAACTTGCAATAAACTACGTAAGATTAAACATAGTTATTTGGGTATATATTAGAACTATCTGAATGTATAGTTTATAAAATACCAACAATTTATAAATTATTGATAAATTAATTATATTATTGGTTAAATTTCTGCATTAAAATATACGGTCATGCAAATTAAATCGGGTACTTTAAGAAAATTGGAAGGGAAAATATAATTTGTACTCCGTGACCTTCTTATCCCAACCAGTGTTGAATATTCTATGGTTAACTTAATCAAAGGTGGTCCAATAATAGGATAATGTACACGTACAATAATATAGCTAAGTAGCGTAGCCAATAAAATCTCCCATGCACTAATTAAAATCCATGCATCATTCCAAATGATGTGCATCTCAAAACCCTATAAATACCCCCTCATTCATAGCCAAATTCATCAAACAAAAAACTCATAAAACAAAGAAAAAAAAAACTAAGAGTAAGTTAGTTACAAAAGTTAAGAAGAGTGAAAATGATGAAGATGAAGAGCTCTGTGGTAATCATGGTGATCATGACCCTTATGGTGGGTACATCAATGGGACAAGGAGAATGTGTCAATGGGGCTTGCCCCAATGGGCTGTGCTGTAGCCGGTTTGGCTACTGTGGCAGCGGACCCGCTTACTGTGGTGGTGTCGAGCAGGCTCAAGCCCAGCCTTCTACCGATCTTCCTAAAACTCGCAAGGTTGTTGTTAAAGCCCCTTGATCGATCTATGCAACTCATCATATGGCCTGGGTTACCTCTTAAGTAATCTTTTTGTGCCTCACTACTTGTTATCCACTATAAATAAGCTCCTATGTATAATATAGGGGCATTTTAAGTTAATGTATGCTGTTACTTTGTTTGTAATCAAATGATCGAATAAGTATTGTTCATCTTATATATAAATGTTATCGTACATGTTTGTTTTTTTAAATTATTTTTCTAGTGACATCCAAGGTAAGTCGCGTTGCTATTTATGGCTTAACACACAACTCTTTCAATTAAGTACTTCCTTTGTTTTTTTGTAGTTGACACACAACTCTTTCAATTAAAACGGAAATAATATAGTTCATACCAGGCCATTTGAGAGACACACATTGACACATGCATATACATACTTCATATCTTTCTTAACTCTTTTAAAATTGCAATAATGGGGATTTCATGCTTATTAATGCACATTTTATAACATCAATATCTTAATTTATATTTTAGTAAAAAAAGATACAAATTTTTGATTATATATACAAATTTAGAGTCAAATGAAAAAATAATAAGACTAATAGGACCAATTTGGATTTGATCCATCACCAAAAAAAAAAAATGTTAGTAACAAAGAGCATGTTCACTTCAGCTTGATTTCAGTTTAGTTCAGTTAAGCTCCAATAAGTTCAGTTCAGTTCAACTCCTAATTTCCTTCTCTCATAAAATATTCAATTCAGCTCTATTCAGTTTAGTTCAGCTCCAATCAGTTCAGTTTAGTTCAGTTCAGCTCACCTCAGTATATATGAACATGCGCTAAGTAATCACATAATCCGTACAGCTTACTTGAATTGCTTCTCACATTGTGAACTTATAATATAATCAATGGGAATATACTACACAAAGTTAGGCATAGAATCTAAACCTGACAATTAGTGGAAAATATATAGGATTGGATTTTTGTCAAATTTCCTAAACTTGATCGGAAATCAATTAATACTTGCAGGTAGTTGGCTTTGCAGATTAAGGAATCTTCAGAAATTGGATCTTTCTGGAAACAATTTGAAGGGTGGCATACCTCCTTGTATTAACAACTTGACATCCCTACAGACTCTTGGTCTTTCTTTTAACAAATTTCAGAAAGGAGATACCAGACTTGTCAAATCTTAAGTCCCTACAATTCTTGGGTCTCTCATATAACAACTTTGAGGGGCAAATTTCCCGTGCATTCTTTGGCCAACCACTCTAAGCTTTTTCATTTAGGGCAATAAATTATTCCAAGTCCAAACAGAAGATGCATTATGGACACCCACTTTTCAGTTGCAATCCTTACTCTTTCGTGATTGCAGGTTGAATGAGCCACTTGGAACTATTCCCAATTTTTTGTCATATCTCAGTGAAATATACCTTGACAGTAATAACTTGGTGGGACCTTTCCCCACTTGGTTGCTCACCAATAACCCTCACCGGTAGCTTTTCCAATCTGAAGAATATTGAGAGTTTAGACCTTTCCTTCAACAACTTGAGTGGCAACTTGTTGAGCTCAACACATTGGAGATCTTCAATGTGTCGTACAACAATTTGACTGGAAGAGTGCCCGTGTCGGGACAGTTTGGTGGCTTTGATGAGAGTAACTATCGTGGGAACCCTGGACTATTTGGGTTCCCGGGAAGTGACTTACACAATCAAACGCTAGTGATGCCGCCTAGTTCTCTTACCAAAGACGGAGGAGATGGAGACCACGACGAAAATTTTGTAGAAGACTTCTTATGGAGCTTTGGAATGTCGTGCGCAACTATATTATTTTTGGCAAC